TTGGGTGTATTTTGGTCTGTTAGAAGAAAGTGCCTCCCAAAATTTTAAAGAAAGGAAAACTTAGGGTGCCTGTGTGGCTTAGTTGGTTAAGCGACTGCCTTCGGCTCAGGTCATGATCCTGGAGTCCCTGGATCGAGTCCCGTATCGGGCTCCCTGCTCGGCAGGGAGTCTGCTTCTCCCTCTGACCTTCCCCCCTTTCATGTGTTTGCTCTCTCTTATTCTCTCTCTCTCAAATAAATAAATAAAATATTGAAAAAAAAGAAAGGAAAACATATATGTACAAAAATAAGGGTAAATACGATGAAGAGATTGAATATGACTCTAAAGATGAAAATTATAAAAGTCTTTTTAAAAGGAACTGATAAGAAGTTGGTTGAAAAAAGAAAGAAGAGAATTAAAAAAAAAAGGGAGAGAATGTGATCAGGCAGGAGACTAGAACAAAGCCATACCACTAGAGATTTAGGTATATTTTTGTCTGTTAGAAGAAACTGTGTCCCCAAATTTTAAAGAGAGAGCAACTTATATATATATATACCAAAAGTAAGGTTAACTACTATGAAGGGATAGAATATGACTCTAAAAATGAGAAATAAAAAAGATTGTTTTAAAAAGGGATTGCTAAGATGTTGGTTGAAAAAGGAAAAAGAGAAATTAAAAAAAAAATAAAAAAAAAATAACTTTGAAAGACTAAAGAATCATGGGAAAAAAGCCATGAATTCTATGTGCAGTATTCCCCTAGCGCTGGAATTCTGCCGTTCTCATTGATCGGTAAACTTGGTCTTGACTGGCCGTTCTTGCTGATCTTCTGGGGGAGGGCCTGTTGCCGTGGTTCCTAAATGTCTTTGCTGGAGGTGGAATTGCCGCACCCTTGCTGGGTTGGGCTAAGTAATTTGCTCGGGTTTGCTCTCGGAAGCTTTTGTTCCCTGCAAGTTTTCCTTATAGCTTTGGAGACGAGAATGAAATGGCAGCCTCCCAATCTCTGCCCCGGATTAGCTGAGAGCTCAGGGCCCCACTCCCCTGTGCACCCCCAGAGAAAAGCAGTCAATCACTCCCGTCTCCCCTGTCTCTGGACGCAGTCCGTGCTCACCCGGCCTGTGACCAAGCATTCCGTCTCTGGCACCCTACCCTGTGTGGAGTCTCCAAACCCAGCAGGTGTCTGTGGCGCGCTCCCGCACCGCTCCTCCTGGGGTAGGAAGGGAAATCTCCCTGGATCTGCTGCTTTTTGGGTCCCTGCTGGAGGAGCAGTGGCCTGACTGTGCCCCGGATCCCGGTTTATGGCAACCCCAAGCTGAGAGCCTGCGCCTCAGCTCTGTCTCTGCAGCCGGCTTCCCCGCTCCGATACCTGGGAGCTCTGCCGCAGTGAGGCACCCCCGGTCTTTCTGTGACCCCGAGGATCCTGAGACCACACTGTCCCGCGAGGGTTCCACCCCGCACTTAGCCACTGGAGTGACGTCCTTAAGTGGAGCTGACTTCTAAAAGTTCCAATTTTGTGCTCTGTGACTCTCTCACTTGCCAGAAGCGGCCAATGGAGGCCCCCTCCCCCGCCGTCTATCCTCCTGAATATCGCCTCAGATTCACTTCTCAGCACGTCCTACCTTCCAGAAAGTGGTTGCTTTTCTGTTCAGAGAGTTGCTGCTATTCTTTTCTTCAATCTCCTGTTGAGTTTGTAGGTGTTCAGAATGGTTTGATCTCTATCTAGCTGAATTCCTGGGACCAGACGAAATTTAGGTCTCCTACTCCTCTGACATCTTGCTCCTCCCCTCCTAGAAATCTTCTGTGGTGCTTTTAATATTTTCTCTGTGTTTGTTGAAATTGTCACTTTGGTTATGCATTGCTCTTTTGATCTTGGTGATTATCTTTGTAATTGTTATTTTGAACTCTATCAGATAAATAACTTATTTCCATTTCCATCAGATCAGTTTCTGGAGATTTACCTTTTTCTTTTGTTTGGAACATATTTCTGCCTTTTCATTTTCTTTGATTCTCTGTGTTGGTTTCTGTCTATTAGCTAAAACAGTTACCTCTCTCAAGTCTTGAGACTGGTCCTGTGTAAGAGATGAATCTCATCAATCAGCCTGGCCTGAGCTCCAGGTTCCCTCAAATCTTTATGATTGTCTTTGTATGGTTGAGGGTGTGCCAAGATCCATCAATGGCCCCAGGGGAATGATAGCAGTTAGCGCCTAGATGCATGTTGATTAGAAGCTGGACCTCAGAGAACAGCTGGGAAAAGCATGCAGTCAAACTCCTTCTGGGAGAAAGTGAGAGACAGGTGTTTTTGCCTTCTCCTTCTGCCTGGATGTATAGCCATGGAGTTTTCTCCTGAGCCTGTTTAAAAACTCTTTCTTTGTTTGGTATAGCCCTGTGGGACTTGTGAATGCAAAACCCATTGGCTGTCAGAGTCAAGTGATCTGGGGGCCCATCCCATGGGCACTAGGTGCAAAAGCTAGTGTGCCAGACATGTACAGAAGCTCTTTCCAGAGAGACACTGCTGACCTCGTATTGTTGGAGTGTGACCCACCAGCTCTTTTGGGTTCCAGGTGGGATTGCAGTTAGCACCTAGATATATATTAATTCCAGTGCTCCCTTCGGCAGTACATGTCTAAAATTACACTTCAAATCCTTAGGTAGCAGCTTGTAAAGTATGCAGTAAGACCTTTCACAGGGACAGGCTGGGAGATAGATGGTTTTGCCTGATCCCTCTGTGCTGATCCCTGGGAAGATAGCTGTGGTTAGTTCTCCTGTGCCTGTCAGCAACTTCTTTTTCTGTTTGTTGTAGTCTGATGGGACTTGTGAATGTAAGGTCTGCTGGGTGTCAGAGCTAGGTGCTCTGGGGGCCTGCCCCCCAGGTGGGAGCCTTAAAAGGTGGGACACCAGATATGTGGTCCAAACCCTTCACTCCTTGAGGAGACGCTGGGAGTTGGGGATTCCCTCCTGATTACATGGTGTTGTGTCTGGACTGGGGTTTAAACACCCATTTAGATGTGAGTATTTTCTCTATCACCAATGTGTAGGAGTCAAACAACTAGTTCTGGATTTCTCTCAGAGGGAATTTCTCCACGTGGTGCTGTAAGATTTGTTGCATCTCTGGGAGGAGGAAAATTCAGGAACCTCCTGTATTGCCATTTTGGTAAAAAACAAAACAAAACAAAAAGTTCCTTAGTTTCTTTATTAACTTAGTTGTTATAGATTATTATTATTATTATTTTTTAAGATTTCATTTATTTATTTGACAGAGAGAGACACAGTGAGAGAGGGAACACAAACAGGGGAAGTGGGAGAGGGAGAAGCAGGCTTCCCGCAGAGCAGGGACCCCGATGCGGGGCTCAATCCCAGGACCCTGGGATCATGACCTGAGCCGAAGGCAGATGCTTAATGACTGAGCCACCCAGGCGCCCCTAGATTATTATTATTTTTAAATTATTTTATGTGACAACTATTCATTCATTCATTCAATGAATGTTATTGAATACTTTTCTAGATGCTGTGACTACAGCAGTGAATCAAATAGAAAGTTCTGGAGCATACATTTTGGTAGCGGAGGAGACAAAAAGTAAATCAGTAAACACATAGCTATATTATATATTTTGAGAAAAGTGCTACGAAGACAAATGTAGTCAGGTAAGGGGGATTAAGAATAAGAAGCGAGAGTGCTCTTTTATAACAGTTCTCTGGGGAAGGTCCTTCTGGTAAGGGGACGTTTGAATGCAGATTTGGAAGATGTCAGGGAGTGTGAGGTGTGTGGATATATGGAATGAAATGGAGGGAGAGCATTCCAGGTGGCTGGAGAAACAAGTGAAGGCCCCGAGGTACCCCTTTTTGATCTTTCTAAAGTGAGGTATGCAGGAAATTCCAGCTAATACCTGATGGCTGTGGAAGGCTTTTCCTGTGTCTTCTCTCTGGTTGATAACATAAGATATGGAGACAGATTCATGTAGCACCTGAAATAACCTTTATTATTCAACAATAAGTGCGAGGACTGAGGAGAGCAGGAGAAACTATTGTGTTCTCTTGATTTTTGCTGATGGCAAAAAAGAAAAGAAAAGAAAAGAAAAAAGTAATACTTTCACTTTCTCTTTGTAATCTTAAAAAGCACTGTTACGTCATATAATCATAGTATTTATGTTCAGAAATTTTAGTTGGGGTGCCTGGGTGGCTCTGTTGGTTAAGCATTTGCCCTCAGTTCGGGTCATGATCCCAAGGTCCTGGAATCGAGTCCCACATCGGGCTACCTGCTCAGTGGGGAGTCTGCTTCTCCTCTCCCCTTGCTCCTCCCCTCCTGCTCATGCTCTCTCTCTGCCTGTCAAATAAATAAGTAAATAAATAAATAAATAAATAAATAAATAAATAATTAAAAAAATCAATCTTTAAAAAAATTTTTAGTCATCATTTTTATCTATCTATATGTATGTATATATATATGTATATCTGAGGAAATATGTAAACAGAATCCAGAGAGATACTATTTCATTTTACTTTGTATATTGTTTTGTATAGAACAAGAGTAACATATATGAATGGAGCTGGGAGGTAACGTTAAACTAGTGAATCAGGCTCAGGCATAAAGCAGTAAGAGTCGTGGAGGAATGACAAATTGGAGAATTTATTTCCCTGTATAAAGGGAAGAGCTGTTACTTTGACTGATTGTTGTGTGGGCCTGGTTTTGAACTTATTTTCTGATTTTTCAAGAAAAGCCAGAAATTTGCATTTTATGTGCTATCTCCTGCTTTTTCAAATGTTGGAAACTAAATAAAAACATTTCAGGACACTCTTCAGGCCAGACAGACTATTCATGCGGGTGGGATCTGGCCCTCAAGTTACCAGTTTACAGGCTTCCAGCATATAAGATCATAAATAATTTTTATTGCTTCCTTTTCAGGGGTTACTATCAATCTCATAGTAATAAATTGCTGCAAGATTTCTGACTACAAAGGATTTTAACATGACATTGTACTCTTGCTCTCCCTGCATCATGCTGACTATGTCTATTCTTACCATTTTAGGGTATGGTCAGACGGGTCCACTGTCTCAGCGAGCTGGTTATGATGCTGTTGCCTCTGCTGTTTCTGGTCTGATGCATATCACAGGGCCTGAAGTAGGTATCATTCTTTAGAATATTCATAAATTTCCCCCCTGTTTATTCCGAAGGGATTTCCCTATTCACTAGCCTTTAAGCTTAAGTTTGAGTTAATTTTAAGAAGAAAATAGGGAAAGTGAATTCTTATTGAAAATGGAAGTGTTTATTACAAATGTACTTGAGGTTATATGTCAATATGGCCCCATGGAAAATAACAGTTTTTTTTTTTAGGAAGAAGCAACAGATCAATTGACTTTTTGTATTATAATTTTGCATTTGTATTATAATTATTCAAGCTTGGTATAGGCACCTAGGTGTGACTTCTGAACATTCCTTCTGTGAAGCAGAAAGGCTGACTAGACCAGACTGCAGATGCGCATTTCTATCAGAGTACCTTCATGTGGCGTGTATACACAGTGGAGGGTCTCTTTTTCCCTCTGCAATATTAATAACTGGTAATGAATTATATTTTATTTTATTTTACTTATTTATTTTTTTATGTATTTATCTTTTATTTATTTTTTATCATTATGTTATGTTAATCACCATACATCACATCATTAGTTTTTGATGTAGTGTTCCATGATTCATTGTTTGCGTATAACACCCAGTGCTCCATGCAGAACGTGCCCTCATTAATACCCATCACCAGGCTAACCCATCCTCCCACCCCCCTCCCCTCTAGAACCCTCAGTTTGTTTTTCAGAGTCCATCGTCTCTCATGGTTCGTCTACCCCTCCCGATTTACCCCCCTTCATTCTTCCCCTCCTGCTACCTTCTTTTTCTTCTTCTTTTTTTTTCTTAACATATATTGCATTATTTGTTTCAGAGGTACCGATCTGTGATTCAACAGTCTTGCACAATTCACAGTGCTCACCACAGTCCATACCCTCCCCAATGTCTCTCACCCAGCCACCCCATCCCTTCCACCCCACCCCCCTCCAGCAACCCTCGGTTTGTTTCCTGAGATTAAGAATTCCTCATATCAGTGAGGTCATATGATACATGTCTTTCTCTGATTGACTTAGTTCGCTCAGCATAATACCCGTCCAGTTCCATCCACGTCGTTGCATATGGCAAGATTTCATTACTTTTGATGGCTGCATAATATTCCATTGTATATATATACCACATCTTCTTTATCCATTCATCTGTCGATGAACAGCTTGGCTCTTTCCACAGTTTGGCGATTGTGGACATTGCTGCTATAAACATCAGGGTGTACGTACCCCTTCGGACCCTACATTGTGTCTTTGGGGTAAATACCCAGTAGTGCAATTGCTGGGTTGTATGGTAGTTCTATCTTCAACTTTTTGAGGAACCTCCATACTGTTTTCCAGAGTGGCTGCACCAGCTTGCATTGCCACCAACAGTGTAGGAGGGTTCCCCTTTCTCCACATCCCTGCCAACATCTGTCTTTTCCTGCCTTGTTAATTTTAGCCATTCTGACTGGTGTGAGGTGGTATCTCATTGAGGTTTTGATTTGCATTTCCCTGATGCTGAGCAATATTGAGTACTTTTTCATGTGTCTGTTGGCCATTTGGATGTCTTCTTTGCAGAAATATGTGTTCATTTCTTCTGCCCATTTCTTGATTAGATTATTTGTTCTTTGGGTGTTGAGTTTGATAAATTCTTCATAGATTTTGGATACTAGCCTTTTATCTGATACGTCATTTGCAGATATCTTCTCCCATTCTGTTGGTTGTCTTTTGGTTTTGTTGACTGTATCCTTTGCTGTGCAAAAGCTTTTTATCTTGATGAAGTTCCAATAGTTCATTTTTGCCTTTGCTTCCCTTGCCTTTGGCGATGTTTCTAGGAAGAAGTTGCTTCGGCTGAGGCGGAAGAGTTTGCTGCCTGTGTTCTCCTTTAAAATTTTGATGGACTCCTGTCTCACATTGAGGTCTTTCAACCATTTGGAGTCTATTTTTGTGTGTGGTGTAAGGAAATGGTCCAGTTTCATTCTTCGGCATGTGGCTGTTCAATTTTCCCAACACTATTTGTTGAAGAGACTGTCTTTTTTCCACTGGACATTCTTTCCTGCTTTGTCAAAGACTAGTTGACCATAGAGTTGAGGGTCCATTTCTGGGCTCTCTATTCCGTTCCATTGATCTATGTGTCTGTTTTTGTGCCAGTACCATGCTGTCTTGATGATGACAGCTTTGTAATAGAGCTGGAAGTCTGGAATTGTGATGCCGCCAGCTTTGCTTTTCTTTTTCAACATTCCCCTGGCTATGCGGGGTCTTTTCTGGTTCCATACAAATTTTAGGATGATTTGTTCCATTTCGTTGAAAAAAGTGGATGGTATTTTGATGGGGATTGCATTGAATGTGTAGATTGCTCTAGGTAGCATTGACATCTTCACAATATTTGTTCTTCTAATCCATGAGCATGGAATGTTTTTCCATTTCTTTGTGTCTTCCTCAATTTCTTTCATGAGTATTCTATAGTTTTCTGAGTACAGATCCTTTGCCTGTTTGGTTAGATTTATTCCTAGTATCTTATGGTTTTGGGTGCAATTGTAAATGGGATCGACTCCTTAATGTCTCTTTTTTCTGTCTTGTTGGTGTATAGGAATGCCACTGATTTCTGTGCATTGATTTTATATCCTGGCACTTTACTGAATTCCTGTATGAGTTCTAGCAGTTTTGGGGTGGAGTCTTTTGGGTTTTCCACATAAAGTATCATATCATCTGCAAAGAGTGAGAGTTTGACTTCTTCTTTGCCGATTTGGATGCCTTTGATTTCTTTTTGTTGTCTGTTTGCTGTGGCTAGGACTTCCAATACTATGTTGAATAGCAGTGGTGATAGTGGACATCCCTGCCACGTTCCTGACCTTAGGGGGAAAGCTCTGTTTTTCCCCATTGAGAGTGATATTTGCTGTGGGTTTTTCATAGATGGCTTTTATGATATTGAGGTATGTACCCCCTATCCCTATGCTCTGAAGAGTTTTGATGAAGAAAGGATGGTGTACTTTGTCAAATGCTTTTTCTGCATCTATTGAGAGGATCATATGGTTCTTGTTCTTTCTTTTGTGAATGTATTGTATCACACTGATTGATTTGCGGACGTTGAACCAACCTTGCAGCCCAGGGATAAATCCCACTTGGTCATGGTGAATAATCCTTTTAATGTACTGTTGGATCCTATTGGCTAGTATTTTGGTGAGAGTTTTTGCATCCATGTTCATCAAGGATATTGGTCTGTAATTCTCCTTATTGATGGGGTCTTTGTCTGGTTTTGGGATAAGGTAATGGTGGCCTCATAAGATGAGTTTGAAAGTTTTCCTTCCATTTCTATTTTTTGGAACAGTTTCAGAAGAATAGATACTAATTCTTCTTTAAATGTTTGGTAGAATTCCCCTGGGAAGCCATCTGGCCCTGTACTTTTTTGTTTGTTGGGAGATTTTTGATGACTGCTTCAATTTCCTTAGTGGTTATAGGTCTTTTCAGGTTTTCTATTTCATCCTGGTTCAGTTTTTGTAGTTGATACATTTCTAGGTATGCATCCATTTCTTCCAGATTATCTGTTTTGCTGTCAAATATTTCCTCATAACATGTTCTTATAATTTTTTTATTTCTTTGGTGTTGGTTGTGATCTCTCCTCTTTCATTCATGATTTTATTTATTTGGGCCATTGCTCTTTTCTTTTTGATAAGTCTGGCCAGGGGTTTATCAATCTTGTTAATTCTTTCAAAGAACCAGCTCCTAGTTTCGTTGATCTGTTCTACTGTTCTTTTGGTTTCTATTTCATTGATGTCTGCTCTGATCTTTATTATTTCTCTTCTACTGCTGGGTTTAGGCTTTATTTGCTGTTCTTTCTCCAGCTCATTTAGGTGTAGGGTTAGGTTGTGTATTTGAGACCTTTCTTGTTTCTTGAGAAAGGCTTGTATTGCTATACACTTTCCTCTTAGGACCGCCTTTGCTGCATCCCAAAGATTTTGAACAGTTATTTTTTCATTTTCATTGGTTTCCATGATTTCTTGAAATTCCTCTTTAATTTTCTGGTTGACCCATTCATTCTTTAGTAGGATGCTCTTTAGCCCCCATGTATTTGAGTTCTTTCCGACTTTCCTCTTGTGATTGAGTTCTAGTTTCAAAGTATTGTGGTCTGAAAATATGCAGGGAATGATCCCAATCTTTTGGTACCGGTTGAGACCTGATATGTGACCTAGGATGTGATCTATTCTGGAGAATGTTCCATGGGCAATAGCGAAGAATATGTAGTCTGTTGTTTTGGGATGGAATGTTCTGAATATATCTGTGAAGTCCATTTGGTCCAGTGTGTCATTTAAAGTCTTTATTTCCTTGTTGATCTTTTGTTTAGATGATCTGTCCATTTCAGTGAGGGGGGTGTTAATGTTCTCCACTATTGTTGAATTGTTCTCCATGTGTTTCTTTTGTTATATATTGGTTTATATAATTGGCCACTCCCGTGGTAGGGGCATAGATATTTACAATTGTTAGATCTTCTTGTTTGGATAGACCCTTTAAGTAGGATATAGTGTCCTTCCTCATCTGTTATTATAGTCTTTGGTTTAATATCTAATTTGTCTGATATAAGGATTGCCACCCCAGCTTTCTTTTGGTGTCCATTAGCATGGTAAATGGTTTTCCACCCCCTCACTTTCAATCTGGGGGTGTCTTTGGGTCTAAAATGAGTCTCTTGCAGACAGCATATCACTGGGTCTTGTTTTTTTATGCAATCTGATAGCCTGTGTCTTTTGATTGGGGCATTTAGCCCATTTACATTCAGGGTAACTATTGAAAGATAGGAATTTAGTGCCATTGTATTGCGTGTAAGGTGATTGTTACCGTATATGGTCTGTGTTCCTTTCTGGTCTATGTTGCTTTTAGGCTCTGTCTTTGCTTAGAGGACCCCTTTCAGTATTTCTTGTAGGGCTGGTTTCCTGTTTGTGAATTCCTTTAGTATTTGTTTGTCCTGGAAGCTTTTTATCTCTCCTTCAATTTTCAATGACAGCCTAGCTGTATATAGTATTCTTGGCTGCATATTTTTCTCAT